CAGTAAACTACCGTTTTAACCCACTCCTAACACAAGTATTTTAACTTAGCAGGAGGGGTTAACGGGCATACTAACAATTTCGGTTGTTAGTAGACCTTTTAAAAAAAAGACAAAAAAGAAAAAAGAAACAAAAAGATACACTTAATGTGTTTTATTTTATTGTGTATTAGCTTCAGAGAGAGACATTCAGGGGGTGGAGGGGGTCTAGCCCAATTTCATCTAATCTTACTTTAGGGAGAGGGGTTCTCGGGAAATATCACGTGATTTTTTATCCGCAATAAAAAGAGTAAAATTGCAATAAAACTGGTTTAAATTAAGTAAAACATGTACCTCCACGGAAATATGGCCAAATCTAATACAATAATATTTACTAGCTTAGTTTCGAAGCAATCCTAAATACTAGTCGAACTAGTCTTAAATAAAAATACTAATGAAATTATTATTTTTGAATTAATCACATTTTTTTAAATAATACATAAATTAACAAATTTATAAAAATAACAAATAATAAAAAACACATTTTTAAAAATCTCACTTGAGATTGGGGGATGGGGTTGAATCAAATCTCACGACAACTCACCAGGGCCTCAATTCTGCTATTTTATGTTCACGCCAAGCCACACGCTATTGAGATGCCATCGAGTGGCCATTGGCATCGGTATAAATATCGGTAGTCTACACTAACTCAGTGTCTTTAAAGTGGCGATGGAATGGCATCATCAGTGGTGATATCAAAAAAATTGCCATATTTGGAAAAATAAATAAATCATTTCCTCAAAAACACGTAATATATTTTCAAATTATAAGGAAAACCCCTTACATAATTAATGAACGCCCTCAAAGCCTATGTTACTCGCTGATAATATAGCTTTCCATTGGTGAAACAATTTTTAAAATCGATTGAATGGTTTAGAAGTGGAATCGTAACAAACAAACAAATTCACATTTATAATTATAAGTATAGATGTGTATTAATTTATGCTAATGATACCTAATCGTACAAGCGAGCAGGACATTTAGGTTAAAACCACACTAGGAAAAATTCTGAAAAATAAAAAGTTGAAAATTTTGGTACTTACAAGTTTTCGCGAAAATCGAAATTTGCTCATATCTTTTTATCGCGTTGACTGAGGACCTTGATTTTTATATATCTAATAGGAACCATAGACCTCAGTATCTGGTATAAATTTCAACTTGCTAGGTCTACCCATTCCTGAGAAAATCGGTGGTGACACACGGACAGACGGACAGACGGACAAGAAAGTGATCTTATAAGGGTTCCTTTTTTACCTTTTGAGGTACAGAACCCTAAAAATAGATTAACCAAAAACCAATAATTATCTAGTAATCTTAATAGGAGTATATTGTAAAAATAATATTAAAGATACACGGTTTAATTCGATACTCGACCTTGAATAGTTTCGAACCCAATCGGAGCCCAACCCCCTTCTACTCAGGTGGTGAGGCACTCAATACACACACGAGTAGGTACAACTATTTATCCAATATTAATGTGAATACCACTCACAAAAGTTTTTATTCGAACATTATTCATTGCTGTTAGAAAATAAAAAAAGGTTGTCAAACTCCATTCAGTGTATTTTGAAGTATCTAAAAATATTACTTTTTATACCACTACAGATAATAATATTGTACTACATTCACACAACGCCATCTAGTCCCAAACTAAGCAGAGCTTGTACTATTGGTGCTAGACAACTGATATAAATACATAATATATACTTTTTTTGTAAATACACACTTATTATACATAGAAACACCCAAACCAAATCAAAAATTAAATGTTCATGCACACAAATGTTGATTTGAGCGGGAATCGAACCGTGACTTTTGGAATAGCAGTCCGTTACACAAACCACTACGCCATCCGGTCGTCTTATAGGATAAGTGTGGTTTTCAATTCGATTATTTCCATGCTATCATGGCAACTTATGATCCGATTGAGTTGGTTGAACTGGTGGTTGGTCTCATGTAAATTTGAAGTAAATAACCTCTAAAAATCTCTTACACGTGGAGAATGGTCGTTAGAAAAATACTGGTTATTACCGTCTGTCATTTTAAGAGCATCTAAGTAGGTGATACATTGAATTTTCAAAGTTATTGACTAAATCACATAGCTTAAAGCATATTGAAACTCAAAACCGGTACTGAGAAAATGTATAGAATAGATAAAACTAGTAATTTAAGTGTTTATGGCCAATTACATTATTTAACTGTTAAGCATTAGTGCGTATAATATATGTGTAAAATAATATATCTTACACATCTCACACACGGCCGTCTGATCCCAAACTAGGCAGAGTCTGTCGTATAGTAACCAGATTGCTGATAAACATACTTATAAATTTTGTAATAGATACTAATTATAGATAAATTACAACCAGAACAAATGACCGTGCTCATCACACACTATTTGTCCTGGGTGGGAACCGAACCAACGACCTCTGGTTTAGCAGTCAGGGTCACTAACAACTAGACCGGCCCGTCAGTATAGTTACAAATAATATTTAATCTAAGATACACAGATACGTCAACATGTTAAAACAGACTTTGTAGACTTCAACCCTTATCTATCTATATCTATATATATATAGATATATATATATATAGAGATTTCCACGTATATAGTCACTCATCACGATATCTCTTAAACCATTAGAGATAAAGACTTGAAATTTGGTAGGAATATTCTTTTCACCGAGTAGAGGTCAGCTAAGAACGGATTTTAAGAAATTCAAAAAAAGATTTTTTTTTTATTAAATAATGTAAATAGCAAAACAACGTTTGCAGGGTCAGCTAGTTAAATACTAATTAACGTCCCTTTTGAAGATGGCGTCGTTTAGAAATATAATTAAATTCTTATCCTTATGGTTTAACAGATCTATATCTAGCGCTAGATCATTAGCGCTGTCCGTCGCAAACTGTTACAAGGCCAACGACTTGCACTGATATTTTTGTGCAAGGCATATAGGACGGTTAGCACTGAGGCTTTGCCGGTGTTGGCAGGTGTCCTTCCGGTCGATCTCGAGGTGCAGAGACGTGCAGCCATGTACTATTCAAGACAAAACATGGAATGCGATTTCTTGGGCGCGCGGGATCGCGGTAAAATTACAAGATTGCTTCAACAGCAGTCCGATGTCTATAATGACCTCATAGACGAATGGCAGCAACGCTGGGACGAATCATCCAAGGGGCGCCATCTTTACCAATTTTTTCCATCTGTTCGCGAACGGTTGTCGAGGACATGGCTTGAGGTGGATCACTGTGTCGCCCAATTTCTTACGGGTCATGGTAACTTTAAGAGCAAGTTGTATTCATTTAAATTAGTCGAGTCACCATTGTGTCATTGCTCAACACCTAACTCTCATTATGAACAGTCTGCTCATCATATCCTCTGGGAATGTAGTCTTTGGTATAATGAACGTAATATAATGCTGAATAGCTTGCAGGTGACATCTGGGGCGGTATACTATGGGGATCTTGTGTCAACTAGGGTGAATTTCCGTGCGTTTAGGCGATTCTGCCATACATATTATAGAAATCAAATATAGCTCATGTAGGACCCGTAATATTTGGTGGCCGTGGTGCTTCCCTGTTTAAAAGGGTGTATGCCTATTTTACTTCATTTTGTCTCCCGCTTTGCTAAGGAGGGAAGTGGATTTACTGTATTTCCAACTCCTCCAATTTTCTTCTGATTAATTTCGTTGCGGGTTCCAAGACAGTTTAATTTCTTCCTGGGACTTCCCGAGTGTCATAACTCGGTGTGTTCGTGGGTCACTGCTGTGGATCCTGGTGTACAGGAGTTACAGTGGTGGGCGTGTGGGTGGGATTAGTCCCAATAAAAAAAGATCTATATTGATATTTTTTTACAAACCAGTTCATTATTATTCACAATGTGTCAATTACTATGGCGTAATTGCGTAGATACAAGTTCACAGGCAAATAGTTTCATATAAAAATGAACGCGGCTCAAAGAAATTGAATTATAATGTTGTTTGTAACCTTAACGTGTGTCCTTGTCCTTCTTACTTAGAACCAACTAACTGTAGAATCACGTAGACCATAACATTACTTATACATGTTATGACCTAATAGAATATCCGTATTTTATTTCCAATAATATTAACTGTAATAAGGTCACTATACCTATATAGTTACTATCTTTATATATACATATTTACAAAAAAACGTTAACAATGTTATAACGTTTTCGGTTACATTGCTCAGACTTTACTATTTATTATTTTTGATTATGTGTGAACTCTGTGTATCTGTGTGAACTCTAATTTTAACTAGAACATGTTTAAATTATTAAATGATTTAATATAAAAGTACCAAATGAAATGTGATACCATACCCAATGATATTGCTTGCCAAATGATGGAATAAAGCTGCACTAAATGTTTATTCTATAACTGATAAAACTAGTAGTAACCTGTATTCGCAATAAACTATTTGAATTGAATTAATGGCCGTAGTCAACAGTTCGAGTTACGGATACGCGCTCTAAACTGCTTGAGCGATTGCTTTAAACCCCAACCTATCCTTATAAGCAGATCCCTTCAAAATATTTTCAATTTTTCAATCTGATTCCTAGAAAGTCTGGTTGATAACAGTAGGCTTGCGCCCCTTTCAGTACGTGGGACTAAGATTATAGTCGACAAAATTGTGGCGCTAAATACGCCTCTGCCTTTATCTTTTCAATAATAAAAACGGGAGTCTATGATTGCACCAGGGATTTCCTTTCTAGGGTACACCTGGTTCCCCGACTACTAGTACCTGAGACGGCGTGCGGTTTTAGTCGGTTCGAGTTCCGCACAAAAAAAAAGGGAGTCTATGATTTTAACGTTACGTCTTTCAATTCATAGATGGCATTGGTACGCTTTTCTAAATCGTGATATAAGTGGAAACCATGTGCAGCCCACAAAGACACATCATACACACAAAAAAAACGAGTCTTAAAGCGAAATGGAACTTACTTAATAGCATCAACTTTGCATCCCTTCATGCCGGTCACGGTAGTATCCTTAAACGTGAGAGATAGTCCTCCCTGGTCCCCTTTCACCTCTTTCAGGAACATGGGATCCAGCGACTTGACTCCAAGTTCCGGTATACCCACAGCCAAGTACGGAACCGCTGCCTGAGCGGACGCCAAGACACACGCACTGTCATCACTCTTGCATGGTTTTATGAAGGGTGCTATGGGAAAACAAAATGAGTAAATATTAAACAGATAAACGAGGTTTTAAAAAGTAGTATTGGAGCTTTCATTAAGTTTTGTACGTAGGTAACATCATTATCACATCACATCAACAGCCTTTAACAGACCACTGCTGGAAATGGGCCTTTTCTTAAAAAAGGACCATTCACACACCATACTATACCACGCTAAACGGGTTGGTATAGGGTTTGTGTCAAGTTTTCCTTCTCTCTGCAGTGCTTTTGTTCTGCATAGTTTGCTCCCTTAGTCGCCTCTCACGACACCCACGGGATGAATAGGAGTGGTGACACCCTGTATTCATAATCCGTCACCACACGGATCACATACGTTACGTAAGTAACGTAATAAATATATGTAAAGTAATCTCATACGAGAGCATAGCTACGTATTAAACTTATTTAGACTTAACATACAACTATAATCTGGAAATTCTATATAACAACGCACACAACAACGATCTCGAAACGACTTGTAAAGTGTTTGGAGTCTATAGACAGGTACAGCAAGTTTTTGGTATATATACCTCAGCCTATGCTTGTCCACTGCTGGACATAGGCCTCTCCCAATAATTTCCAGCGGGGACGGTAGATTGACATAAAGTAGTAGTTCTAGTTTTTGGTATACCGTATAATATATAATACAAGTATATATATATGTATATAAAAGATTTAAAATAATGTATATCATTTTTTTACGGCATTGATCTTTATTTTTATGCATGTAAATCAGGTTTTCATAAATATACTGACAGATTTGATTCGTCATTTTTTAATTTTCTGATTCAACGAAAAACGATTACCTCACTTAGATGTTCCTCGGAAAGCACTTATCTGCTTATTTGCTAAGATTGAATGGAAATTATTGGTATTTGCTTTTGGTATTCCTATCGACGAATACCAACTCGAGTTACAACTATGCGAACCTGGTCATAATCACATATGTACATTTCAAAAGCAATATTCCTTTTCTTTCATTGGCGCGTTTCTAAATACTTTAACTTGACGACAATAGGATTGCCTCTTATTATGTGTAAATAGATTATAGTGTAAGTGGTGTAAGTGTAAACCTTTTGTGGGCAGAAAGTAGGCTTTTAATATGTCTCTGCCTACTCCTTTGGGGATATAGACTGCATGGTTGACGTAGTGGTTTAAGCAGTCACCTCGCCACTTCCCTTTGCCCTGAGTGTTGTGGGATCGATCCCCACATGGGACAACACTTTCTGTGATCTACAAATTTTTGTTCTGCGTCTGGGTGTTCTTTGTGTCAGTTTCAAGAATGTTTATAAAGTATACCTGAGTCACAGGACATATTGCTAGTGCGGGAGTTATCTTTTTAATATGAAATAATAATAGGGATGAATATATGTATAATTTATCATATGTGTGTATGTGGTGACTAAGAATACGTATTATCACCACCTCTATTCATTCCGTGGGTGACGTAAAGCCGACTAAGGGAGCAAACTACGCAGGATAACAGCACTGCAAAGAGAAGGAAAACTTAATACAAACCCTGTACCAACCCGTCTAGCCAGCGTGGCATAGTAGGCCAAAACCTCCTTGCTAAAGAGAGGTCCATGTCCAGCAGTGGACTATTAAAGGCAGTATATGATGATGATGATGATGTATGTTTTTGCTAACAGTGGAATATCGTATTACATTCTAGTATGAAAAAAACTAAGACTAATGTGATTGTTCTAATGACACAAATTTTCATAAATGCGTGTTCTGCAGTGTGGAGTGTATTAGTGATATCAATATTAGAGGGCTGTTGAAGCATAGAATTAAAAGTAATGGATTAATATTTCATGCTATCCTCTAGTTCACACTCGCTATTTTTAACCATTACAGTTCTCACCCTTTGAACATTTAGAGTCAAAAGCAAATCGGATACTTTTAGACTTTCCCATATCATCTAAGAAGTAAGTCGTTAACGTTTTAATTTATAGTCATACATCATACATATATTTATTTATTTTATTCTTTATTGTACACACTAAATACATACATATATATAAGTAACAAGGAAATGTCATGTACAAAGGCGAGCTTAACCCAAAATTGAGTTTTCTTCCAGCAAAAAAATAACATAACATCTTGGTCTAAATAAGTATGCAACAACGGTGTTATATAAAGCGAAATAAAAAATGAGCCCAACATAGAACCCTGTGGCACGCCCATTTTTACTACAGTCTCTGGATACGTCTATCCTGTGCGTTTTTATCCTGTATCAGAGATAAACAATAAGAATATCCAGCCCTGTGTCTTTGATACCACAGTAACATAGTTTTCTAATCTGAGTTTCGTGAACAACACAGTCAAACGCTTTAGTTAAATTGTAAAAGCTATCTAGTAGATCGTGAAAAACTCCCAGGCGTGAAATATATATTTTACAAAGTTAAAACCTCCTTTTTAAAGCCGATTTGCTTTTTATGTAACGAATTATGAAAATAAAAGAAACAATGCATTGAATTATAAAAAATAAATATGGATACTATAGAAACTGCCCTTTTGTTTGTTGGGTTTGTGTGTCTGAAATAGTGTAAGATTTGAACAATTCAGATTGTAGGCATATATCTATTATAGTTATACATATATAGGTACCTACTAGTCGTATAAGGTCTTAATATATGTTTCTCAGATACGGCAATGAATGCATTATTATTATTCCTTGGTGCTGATTGATTACATTAACTTTCAATGTCAATATAAATTACTATTATTACATGTTGATATTAATCTTTGACAAATCAATTTCATTACATAAATAGTAAGTCATTGGATTTTTAAAACGGTTATCACGGTGTATTAAATACATAAAAATAAATAATGTGTGTATTTACAAAATAGAAATGAAAATAAATTATAGTTTAAAAAACCAGTAAAGAGTAGAAAAAAAATCCTAGATGTCAAGTATTATGAAAATCTTAATATCATAACATATTTTTAATTTAACAAGTAATTTTAAAAGTAAGGTTATTATTAAACATCTTGAAAAGCACAAAAACCATTTTTTCTTTTTGAACTTACATAAAATTATGTTGTCCTTTAATTCGACTACAAAAGCTTGTTTCTTTTTTTAGTTTATTAAGATTTAATTTATTTTTGCTTTTTTTACTCACTAAGGATGATTATTTCCTCATTAAAGACTAAAAAAGTAACAAGTAAGTATGTCACATATTGCTTTAGTGCACGCCACTACCGTAAAGACACTACCGCATTTTTAGATATGGGAAAAGCCGTTAATCCAAAAGATCCTAATTAGGATAATCGTCTAAAATTATAAAATTATTGTATCGTCATCGGTTCTTGATATGAGTGCAGAGTTTCTATTCAATCCGACGTTTTAGAGTGGGGAAAAATCATATTCAAAGGCTCCATTATACAGCTAGCTCCATTCTAGAATGAATCCATTCTAGCTAGAATCTTGATGGTGAGAATACCAAAACAGACTCGGTAGCCTCAGAGCTCCGTGGATGTCGTATAACAGATGTGATCGAAACATGGGAAGACGAGTGGAAAAAAACACCAGACGATATAGATTGGGACACGGCCCGCAAAGTTGTCAACCGTGAAAAACTAGTTACACACATTTATATATACTAAGAAAATAAAAGCGTCTCAAAAATTAAAAAAATACTAGAAAGATCGTTGAACTCTGTGTTGGTTTATAACGTAGGTATAATATCACGCCTAGACACTATGCATAAAGTTTTAAATCACGGTTTTATTACAACAGAAGAAAATCTTTTATCATTAGAATAACAAATTGTCTGAAGAAGCAGCACGAAACCAGAAATTAACATTTCTGTTTATAAAAGAGTAGACAAAGTTTCGCACAAAAAAGGAGACACAATTACTTTATGAAGTAAACCTGAAATTTAATATGTGAAGAATGTTTGCCTTTTAATTTTAATATTTAAGGTTTCAAATTTTCAGAAAAAGGAAGAAGATTCGGTATTATAAATAGAAAGTTGTGTTTTTTTTCGAACGAATGCTTTTATTTCTACACCTGATTTGGGGCCAAGTTATAACCCTTGTCCTATAACTGGAAATAAGTAGTGGAGGTACAATTAAATTAATGGCTTTATGAGTTATTGAGTTATCCAAATGATAAGACGGTATAAATAATTTTCGCCACCTAGATTACTCAATTACCCTTACGTGTTTTGTCTACTTTCCAGACCTGGATCGTTCAAGAGTAGAGTGAATAAGTTTTGAAGTGATAACTTCTTATGGGAGGGTAAACTGCTTCGTTACGTTTCGCGTTACGGCGCCAGTCTGTCTGGCTTCCCTTTCTCTCACGCATACGGCAGGGGCAGGCAGGCTCCTCTGCTCTTACTCTATCCCACTGCGCTAGCCTAAAATTTAAGTAATAACCTAAGCTTTTCTCAAGTTAAACAATTTCAATATTAAATAGTTCAAACTATTCCATGTTTAAGTAATCACTTCTGTCGGGCGTCCCGAGACGCACACGTTATTTTTTTTTCAATAAGAGTTTTATCTTCATCATCACCGAGTATGAGTTAAATGGTTACATTTCAACACTACGATCAATGTTACCGGAAATTCTACTAGATTCATATAAACAAAGTATATTTTAAAATATTACATATTGATAAGGTCATTTTTTTTCTATTTTAGTTTTAAATACCAAGTGTTACAGGTTTATCCCACATAACAGGTTTAAACAGGTTTAGTAATAAAGGAGAACGGCACATCCTGTACCCCTAATAATATATGACGGCTGATAATGAAACTAGTACCGTTTAGAAAGTGAGTCATCCTAACTATTTTTTGTGTAATTATCATATTTTTAGAACTTTGCTAAAAGAAAATAAATTCTTCGTAAACAATTGTTACAACTGCTATAATTAAACGTTCTAGTGTTGTTAACAAAACGCATTCCTACATTGCATAAACAATAAATGACATAAAAAACGAAATGTTTACATCGAGATCAATGACTGCTGTATTTAGCAGTTAAAAACAAGCATTACGAGTATAATTTTGGCTGTACAGATTAGACGAAGTAATAAAGAAATGATTATTTTAAATCAGTTAATTTAAGGAAACGTACTAATAACTTTTATTCAAATCTATTAGATTAATCGTGAACATTATGTAAAAAAAGTAATTAAACTTCACATAACGATCCAAAAATTTGAAAACTTCTTTCAGTACAGGCCTGTATAATGATTCGTGTGTTTCTAATACAAAATGGTCAGCACCTTGTTGTTCAAATAAATCGTTAAATTAACCTCCTAAAGTTTATGGCAGTTATTATTTATTATATTCAGTATTTTATTATTTTGAATCGACTTGGAGAACTCTCAATTATTATTATTTTATGTTTGTTAGAACTCCGTCATTCATGAACCGATTTATTATTATATATTATTATATAAAGGGTATATTTCCATCTTGGTCACATTTAAATTTTAAGAAAAATACAATCGCTAAGAGTGAAAATTAAGGCATGAAAGAATTAATTCATCATGATGAAGGCGTCTTGATACTTTTTTAAAGTTATTTTTTAACTGTAAAATCCACTGATTTGAGGATACCAGTATCATTTTTTTTTTTAATTTTAGCGTTCTATGATATAATATTTGTAATAATAATGGCTCCACATATCTTACACACGGCCGTCTGATCCCAAACTAGGCAGACCCTGTACTATGGCAACCAGTCTGCTGATAACATAATTGTATACATTTCAATACATATGTACGTGTTATGGATAAATTATACCCAGACACAAAACAAATGAACAGGCTCATCACACAATTATTTGTCCTGGGTGGTGTCCATCACACAATTACCAACCACTGACCAACAAGCCAGCCGTTGTCTTATATATAAAGTACAATGTATCGGAATTAGCGCGATCAAGCAATAGGTATCAAACAGCTTTGAACTGCCTGACGATGTGTCACTTGCAGTGAGCTGAGTGATTCAGTCTGGTACTGATTTACTATATTAATATTACAAACTATTAATAATAATATATACATATTAATAGAGGCAGCCTGTGATAGAATATTTTTATTTTGTCTACTTTTATTTATTTACCAAAATACTTTTTGTGTAAGATACATAAATGGCTGCCTTCACTTTAAAGTTACAGGGTTGTAACAATATTTTTACAAAAAAAAAACACGGTAATTTAAAAAAAGTAGTATCAAAAATTGTTTACAGAATATCTTCATATCTCGTGATACAATCAATTATTTTAACGAATTAAATGCGGAAGCTTTATTTTAAAAAGCTTTTTACACGTATTTAATAATAAATATTATGGGATGAATAAGAAATGATTTCCACAAATATCATTTTGGCATGAAACCACTCACCGGAACCAGACCTCGCCGCGAGCACCACACCAAGAAAACAAAGATATCTCAACATTTTAAAGCACTGTCCTGCGTCAAACAACACATCGACTGGTTGTTCGGAACAAGGACAGTGGCTGTCTTATATGAGCGCCGTGGACTCGTACGTCACACGCACTTTGTCAACACCGAGACCTGTTCTTAGTTCGTATTCTCTTAAGTGTTAAGGAGATGCTCTATGCTAATTGACTTATGTTGTACAGGAACATTTACAACTTAATTTTTAAATGTTTTGTAAATGTGGGGCTGAATCGATACTAATATTATAGAGCTGAAGGGTTTGTTTGTTGGCTTCAACGCTTCAATGCTAATCTACGGAACTACTTTATTGTTTGAACTGAATTTTTTTTTAGATGCAGGATAGCATATTTATCGAGGAAGACTATGGGCTATATAATATCATGATAGGTCAAACAGGAGCGGAGAATCAAAGAAAAATGTTGCGGAACTTGGAAAATTGTATTCCTTTTAGACACGTTGACGAAGTTGCCCGCGTCAGCTAGTCATTTAAAATGACTAAAGGATATCTATTAGTATTTTAATAACTAATATTCTACTTTAAGCATCGCCTTCTATACTCGACCTTACTGTAGATTTTTTACATGTAGATATAGCATAGCTACTTGAAAAGTTATTAAAAACATGATATTTAGTATGTTTATTACCGGGAATTAGTTATTTCGATACTGTTGCAAGCGCCATGATCACGGATGAGCAAATTCCTGAAAATGATCAACTGAAAATTATAGTTTGAATCAGCATAGCTACTATACAGTCTAGATCAGTTTTTTGTTGTTATTATTTTTAGTTTATCAATATGTGCAGTACTTTATCCTGTAAAAAAATACAAAAAAAATCTCCGTATCGACACATACTAGTAGCGTTCCCAGAAGGCTGGCAGGATAGCCACGTTGAAAGGCCTTGTTAATTCTCTCTACTTAAAAAAGACCCACTTTTGTTCATTAGAAGTGTCAATCAGTTGTTTAGCTAGTCATATAATTATGTGAACGAGAACGAAAACTCGAACACCATGACCTTAAACAGTTCTAAATCATTTTTATGTATATCTAAGGGATAATTGCGTGGGGTAGCATCAACGATTGTTTTAATAGCTCATGTTTTTTACTTTTACCGTGGGAAAACAATGCTTAAGCACAAATAAGCCCACTCGATCGGAGTGATACCACGGCTTCACAGAAAATTGGTGATAAGCTATTCACCGAGTGATTTGTGATTGATAGTCCTTTTCTGTACATAGTTTTAGTCGTCGTTTTAGTCAAACCAAAGTAAGGTCCACTCTTATTATACTAGAACTAGCAGGACCAGTATAACTTTAACTATTATTGTATATAATTTTGTACCGCAACAGATTAATTATTGGTTATGTTACAGTTTATGTTTATGTAGCTGTTTTTACACATTTTTTTAAGTTATAGCACCTATTGTTTAAAAATTATAGCTTTGTGCACTTGAGTCTATTATTTGGAGGAGGAACTATCTATCGCCTTAATTGTAGGTGGGAGGGGTGTAAACAAAGTTGAGAGTCTTTACAAAATAACAAAATAAAATAAATGGAGCTTTAAATTAATTATTTCTTCTATTAAGTGTTGTTTTCCTACAAACATTGATAAATATGCAACGAAGTGACCATGGCCTCTCAAAAAAGATAAAGGATGATCTCATTCGGACCACATTGTGACCGCTGTCTAGGTTGTTTAGCGGAGTGCCATGGCTACAACCAAAGCACGATTGTTTAAAGGTTGGTTCGGTAGGACCGGTTTGTGACCAATTTTTATGTTATGTTTACAACAGATATAGATTAACACGGGTGAAGCTTAGAGCAGAGTTAGTTTAGTTTCTGTTTGTCTAGCGGTTAGTAAGGATATCTTGGGTTCGATTGCCATTCTGTAAAGATAGTTGTGTATTGAGCAGGTTCATTTGTTTTGTTCCTTGGTGTAATTAATTTATAGTAATATTTTAAATGTGGATGGATGTGTAACTCAATCAGAAGGCAGAATAAAATTGGATGTAATTTATTACAGAGACATATTATAGTCTTCGTGATAGTTCCTACGTAACTACTTTTTATCAAGAAAAAAAAATTGATTGACAAAATTGAAATTAATGTCAATTTTTTGTTTGTTACGCTTTCACACCTTTTTTTTTGTTGACGGGGTAAAAAATCTCTTCGGATCTTCTGCTCCTCGGGGACTCAGGAGCCAGGAGTATGTGGTGATTCCACTAAATACCACCCCGACGGCCGGCCTTAAGTGTCCTACTCTGGGGAGGACCCGGACCATGTTATTTCAGGTCCTCCCCGAATTGACACCATGCCTAATCAGGCCCTATCCCAGGGCCGGGGTGCCGCTTCCAGGGAGCAGAGGGAACATGGGGTTCCCACACGGGGGGGGGGGGGGTTGTTGTAGATGGCCCGGATGGTATGTCGGGGCACCAGGGACTTCCTTTCTAGGGTATACCTGGTTCCCCCGCTATTAGTACCCGAGACGGCGTGCTGTTTTAGTCGGTTCATGTCCGACATGCCACCGATAGGTGGTGTCCGAGGGGATTTCCTCACGGAAAAAAAAGGGGAATACGCTTTCACGCCTAAACCGATTTAATTATGTTTATTATTAATCGAAAGCTACATTATCAGAGGGTAACATGGCTACTTTTTAGACATACACGTGAGCGGAGCCGTGGGCAAAAGCTCTATATCAATATTATACAGGCTCTGTTTAGTTGTGTGAAGTTGTAATTATTTAAATTTACTTATAACTCACAAAACTATATGCATATACGATATACACTTAGCATCCCCCTTAACATATATACGGAAAGAATGACATCACAGCATTCCAACTTCACCTTGATCTTGAAATTTGAACTACCGACTGCAGCAGTCGTAATTGTATGCTTTGTACTGATGATTCGTACTAGTAACGTTGTTAACAGGTCCTTCTAAATTAAATTCTCAACTTCCTAGTGTTAATAGCAACGGCCCGGCCAGCGGAGTAGTACTATAGCCTCACAGAAAACTGGTATTACAGAAATTTCTGACCTCCTCTTGACCGAAGGGGTGAGGTTACTGGAGCTCAAAGCTCCTTCCCAATTTAGGGGGAGTTTGTGAAAGGGCAGGAACGCATGTGTTACTCTTGAGTGTGTGGTGTTATTATGGGCGATGCCCATGTGGTGACGGATTAAGAATACTGAGTGTCACCACCCCCATTCATCCCGCGGGTGTCGTAAGAGCTGACTAAGGGAGGTATCCACGCAGGACAACAGCACTGCAAAGAGAAGGAAAGCTTGATACAACCCCTTTACCAACCCGTCTGGCCAGCGTGGTATAGTAGGCCAAAACCTCCTTTCTAAGGAGAGGCCTATGTCCAACAGTGGACTATTAAAGGCTGTTGATGTGATGATATGGGGCGATAGCGAGTTACCATCAGGTAGCCTGTTTGTTCGTTTGCCCTTATACGATAACAAAAGAAATATTAATAATAACTTGACACATCTCCCAGCCGGATGTCTGATTACAAACTAAGCAGAGCCAGACCGACAGAAAAATTTAAAACACAGATTTATTATTTCGAAATTTGAAAGTCATCATCATGATCAACAGCCAACATCACTGTCCACTGCTGGACACAGGCCGTTCCTTAGGAAGGAGGTCTTGTCTTACTATACCACGCTGGCCAGACGGGTTGGTATAGGGTTTCTTTCAAGTTTTCCTTCTCTCTGCAATGCTGTTGTCCTGCGTAGTTTGCTCCCTTCGTCCGACGAACAGATATACCGTATTCTTAATCGATCACCACACCACACAATATAAAATTTGGGTCCCGTAATAATGCCCAGCGGTTGATATAAAAGGGACCTCACCATAACGATGTATTTTTGAGTGTATTTCTTTGTTTAGTAATTAGTATGTTTATTACTCGGCGAAGGCTTGTTTTTCATGGCATAGGAGCTAACGAGCAGATGGTTTTACCCATCATCAGCCTTTATAGTTCACTATTGGACATGTCTCTCCTTAGAAATGAGGTTTATGCCTACTATACCACGCTGGCCAGACGGGTTGGTATAGGGCTTCTGTCAAGTTTTCCTTCTCTCTGCAGTGCTGTTGTCCTGCGTAGTTTGCTCTCTTAGTCGGCTCTTACGACACCCACGGCATGAATAGGGGTGGTGACACTCTGTATTCTTAATCCGCCACCTAATTTCCGAATTTCTATAAACTGGTTGCTTGATCGATGATTAGTTACTAACCATCGCGTGATCCGTCTGTCCGATTGCCTTCTATGTCATAAAACAAGTGCCTAGAGCGCTTTCAACTACTCTCCTTTTGCATCTTCCATCCATCGATTCTTCGATACCAGGTCACCCAAGTACACAAACTATTACATTCAGTTATTTCTTCATTCATCTCTAAAACCATATGCTCTGACTGTGACTCTTTACCATAAGATTACTGAAAGTAAGCACCATTCCAGATTCAACATTCAGTTTGTTTTACATGTGAAGAGGTTGAGCAACCAGAAAGGAACATCTCCTTGTCCGTCTTCCTTTGTGATGTTAAACCGTCCTGTGTGTGCTGCAGTCCTTGTATGAAGACTTTAGAATCCGTGACAGATATTTGTCCACCCAATACAAGAATACGGAAATGCCTTCTATTTCCTGTTCACCTTATTATAAGCCTTTTCTAGATCTACGAAAGCGTAAAACAGCTTCTGGTTTTTTACTAACTATCTTCCGCGATGCATTGTATACACTTGATATATCCTGATCGCTTTTGAAAATCTGCCTGCACATCCCAAATGATCATCCGTTACACTATTTACTTTGAAAACCGTTTCACAATCACATTTTCAAGGGTTGAAATTTATGTGTAGGTTACTAAGGAGCCGGAGGACTATTAAAAGGGAGGACGGGGTACTATAACGATAATTCATCATCATTGACAGCTTTTACTAGTCCACTACTGGACAGAGACCTCTCCTTAGTATGGTGGTCTGGTATAGGGTT